AAAAATTCACTGGAAACATTTTATTCTTAAAAATATTGTAGGAAGAGCAAAAAACACTGATAAATTCTAAAATTGCATATCCATACACAAATGTTAAAATATTCGTTAAACAATAAATTGCATAGCACTCAGACTAAAGAATAATAAACACGGAGCCCGCCAAATTAAATGTCGAAGTGAAAATAGTAGCATGATTTTTCTGTTTATAATACTAATAGCAAATTATTATGCATCCATATTTTTATACTAATATTATAAATGTGAAAGTGTGTTTGTTTGTTTGTCCCTCTTTCACGTCGAAACGGTGTCGGATTGGCGTGATTTTTTTTTCGATGATATAGTTGGGAGGCTGGAGAGTAACGTAGGTTTTTTTACAGCATAGCCTTTTTTGCTGCGGTAGATTATCTCATTCCCCACGGGAAAACACGTTACAAAACAACCCAAAAATTATTTATGATAAGAATAACTTGAAACTTGTATTATTGCTCCTCAATACAATAAAATCAAAATATATAAAGCAAAATAAGCTTTATAATTATGCTTCATTATAAAAAAAGTAAATATTCTTCTCCAAAAATTAATTTTCCTTTTCATTTTCTCCTTGTCCTTATCCCACAATCCATATCCTTCTTCCACTTTCCTCTATCTGTCATCTCAGCACACACTTAAACCTCCTCGGTACTTAACCTTCCTCGGTCTCCCGTTACTTGTATGTCCATTCTAATTTCATTCATTCACACCTACGAGTAATATCCTGTTACTTACATGACTTCTTTAAATAACAATAGTAAATAGACATTGAAAATAATCTAAAATACATGGCTTAATGTATTATTTATTAAAAAATATTTAATTTCACAAGTTAGTTACACTCTGTCTTTATTATTCTTTTAGTCTGAGATCCTATAATGCTTATTCTATTTAATAAAATCAAATATTCTTTAAATATATTTTTTTAAATAAAAAATATTTGAATATTATATTACGAAAACTGAACTCTGTGTCTTATCTAAAAGTAAATATTACATCTACATCTATGTAAATATCAGTGTTATAAACACACTCACTCACATTGCACTCGATAGGTATCTGTAAATAGTGACAGAAATAAACGAGATAGAAACAATAAGCTAACATGACTACAAATATATACTTGCGATAGATTTTTTTTTAATAAGATCTAGAAGATTCTAAGGTCCATTATATATATTAAAATTATTGCTAATTATTAATAACAAACACTTCACATAGAAATATACCTACATGTTATTTTAAAGACAGCGATTTGGATATTGAAATAAAAATTTAGAAATATTCTACAGCAAATATTCAAAACTAAGTTACATAATAGATTTAACACATGATTTTATTTAAAAGCCTTACCCACGATATACATAAGGTAATAGCTAAACTAAATTCTAAGGCAATACGTGTAAAATATGTAACTAAAAAGTAACATATTAAAATACTGTTTTTGTGAAGCAAATTGAGAATTTTTATACAACTGCAGATCTCATTTAATACTAGGTCATTGTTATGAAACAATTGAGTTGTCATCAATTCTGAACTACATTGCACTTTTTGTTATTTATACATAAATTTTATACATATTTCATAAAATGTAATTTTGGTTATTCCTATAATAAAACATCGAAACTCGCATTTGCATATTATTTACAATTGAATTTATAGGTATATAATTATAAATAATCTAGATATTTGACATAATCGCTGAAAATCATTTGTACATTTGCTCATATAATATAGAAGCCAGGGTACTCAAGCTTAGAATCGGGAAAGTCAGATTTCAACAATTCTTTCTTTAAATAGGTTTAAAATGTAAGGGAAGCCAGTGGTATTTAATTTAGTAGCATTAGATAACTTTGCCAACCCGAATACAGATGTATGCCATCTGTCAGTTCAACACTAACAAATCTATTTACCCGACTGCAAGGGAAGAGTTATATTTTTCGCACCTATCTTTGTATGTTTGTTTGTAATATTCTTTATTCCCTCATATATTCCAAACCACTCGATGTATTTCTTCAATTAAGGTATCGTTAGATTTGTCTCATTAGTCCAAGAGTTCTTAGACATGTGACATAAAAGAAAATTAAATATGGAGGCTGCTAGATTTCATTGTTTAAGCATTGCAATATGGCTATCAAATTAAAAGGCTCATAACAAGGATTCCAAAAAGGTATGACACCCCTTTATTATTTATTTTAAATAACAGTTTAGGTTATATGATGATTTAAAGTTGGTTAACAACAATTCTCATTAATTTTCCTACTTAAAAATACTTAAAAAACTGTAAATAAATAAATATATTATAAAAATAAAATACCCGACTGCATAAAAGCTAACTAAAAATATGAAAACAAGTTCACGACGGAATATAGTACTATGCAGTCGGGACATACATACGAGTATGTACATCTCGCGGCAAGGATGAAACGTAAGCGTCAAATTAAAAACTTAAGGATACCGTTTTTTTCGTTTTTTCCCGAAAAATACTTTGGTATAATCAGTTTATAAAAATTTGGTCAAAAAATTACACTTCAATGAAAATTGAAAAAAAATGTAGTATACAAAGTAAAAATTATCGATAACTCCAATTTTAAACATTATTAAGGGTGTTTTTACAGGACTACACAATGTTTTTATTTCTTCAAAAAGTAGAGTTCAAGACGAAAATAATAAGCCCTATCTGAAAATTGAACGATTTTTTTTTAAATGTAAGCTTCCACTTGAAGTTGGGGGTGATTTTCAGACTCTCTAAGACTCATAAAACTCATACTCATAAAACATACTTTTCTCGGAAATATCTAAACATTTCAAATTTTTTTCATTTATTATATATATTTCGAAGATTAGATTCCCTTAGTTTCATGAAAATCAAGATTATTCTAGAAATTAAAAATAAAATTGAAATAAATATATATTTTTCAACGCTTTGCGTCCCCCCATTTCTTGGGCATTTACGAATTTCTATTACTTATATACCTGCTAACATTTTAAAATCATGAAACTTCAGGCTTTCAATATTTTGTTCCCAAACCGGATTCCGATTGGACTAAATATAGCATTTTCTATGTCAAAAACAACGCTTTATTTTTTAGATATATATATACCTACTATTATAAATGTGAAAGTGTGTTTGTTTGTTTGTCTGTCCTTCTTTCACGTCAAAAACAGAGTGACAGATTAGCGTAATTTTTTGTGTGGATATAGTTGGAGAGATGGAGAGTGACATAGGCTACTTTTTACTCGAGATTATCTCATTCCCACGGGAAAATACGTTATAATACAACCCAAAAAAATATTTATGATCATAACTATTTGTAACCTGGTATTAATGCTTCTCATTCAATACAATTAAATAAATACGTGTTTTAGCATTTTTCAAAATTCATCCCATAAGAGGGTAAAATAGGGTATGAAAGTTTGTAGGAAACCAACCCCTGTAGAGATTTTTTTTGTGTTTTATTGCGACCAAACCCGCGGGTTCTACTAGTATTTATATTTATAACACATTTTAATTATTTATTATTAATTGTAAAATATGCACTGAGACGAAGTATTATCTTCTGAAACACTCTTCATGTGCTAGTTTTGATAAAAATGCCTAGAATAGATAGATTTTAGGCATATAATGAGATTAATTAACTAAATAAATAAGGTATTTCACTAGATTGTGACTGATGATTGAAAAACCTATCTAATTTTACTATCTAACATCACAATTTATAGTTTTCGCGAATAGAACCCGATTATAAGAGTTTTATAAATGTCTGAATTGTTTGATAATTTGACTGTTGTGGTTTTCAATGGGTTTTTTTCGCTAGCAAAAACTGATTCTATTACTTTGTTCTGATGTATTCTACAATAATATACTTAAGCACGAGTATCGTATTCTATTTTACAACTCATGTGAACTGTGACCTAAACTCGCCAACTTCTTAATCCAAAGATGTGGAATGATGTTATCTTTTTGATTCTGTCTCTGTCTCGTTGTTCTCATTCGTTCTCATTCAGTCATTTTAAAATATCACTCTAGCCGGAATTATGTAATTTTATACAACATTTTATTCTCAAATTTGATCATAAAAACTTTTCAAGATTTTGAAAATAAAAAAGATCACGATAATATTAAACCAAAACTCAAAAAAGGCACGGACAAAAAGTCTGTGGTGTTCGTTTGAAAAAGAACGTTCCTCGGCTGGGCACGGGCCTCCCTATACAAGTAGGATCAGGCCATAGTCCACCACGCTGGCTAAGTGGGAGTTGGCGTACTGAAGTCCTTTCTTTCGAAAACTTGCTAGGTTTTCTCAGACATGCAATTTTCCTAAAAATGTTTCCCTTCACCTCATTCGATCGATAATAGTCATCATTACGTTCATACTTCGTTGCATTACATTGACTCAATTAAAACCAGAAACTGACTGTACAGAAATTGTACACACATTGTAATATTTAGTGTATTTCAAAAAAAATAATAAGAAACGCAGTTATTCTAAGAATAATTATTTAGAACAAATTTGCCTTCATCTCTCTTATCACATTTAATAACACTCTCTGTATTCACACAATATGTCTGTGACATTAATAGTTTCAAAGTCATTTAAGTGAGAGTGTACGTCACGCAGTGCTATAACATAAAACATAATTTTATTTATTATTTTTTATTATTTATAAATTAAGTTTTCGAGACGTTATTTTATTAATGCTTGTTCAAATTAATTTCATAAATGAAATTAGCTTTGAGTCAAAGTCGTTTTAACATATTGCACTTTCAAAACATCTCTTAACTTATCATATCTCCTATTTTGTTAGATCAGAGTATTTCTTTTTTTTAATATAAGTTAATAAATATTTTTTTTTGTTTTCATTTCTCTGCGTTTTATCGCGTCTACAGATAATAAATTTTATTTATTCGATGAGTTTATATTGCATTATAGTAATAATATACTTTTCATTAATTTATCTAACTAAAATTATTTAAGATCGGCTAAAGTCTCATACGTTTTTCGGTTCCGTGTGATGAAAGATTTCACGCCGGTTTTCGGATCTAGATCAGCCATTCCGAGATTGTGCGTTTCTTTGAGTAGGTTGGCAAAATTTTGGTATTTCACCATAGAATCTAGCTTATTGATGTTTACTTTCAAAGTAGGTTTCTTATGTTTAACAGTTTTGGTGTGCCACACGAGTACCTTGGTGCAATTAGAAGCTAGAGGTTCTATATCTTCTATTTTCAGGTCCAAACTAACAAGAAACCTGTCCTCCTCGTGTCCCGCTATGAAGGGCATATTGGCTGTATCTTTCAAAAACTCAACGTTAACAGCGAAGCCCGCCATGTCGACGGGGAACGTTCTGGAACCAGGCCATGAATCGAAGAAACCGACAACCTGAAATTTTTGTGAAAATTCGTTATGTTGAATTCATATAGTGGGTACTCCATTTGGATGTACTTGTGTACGCGACTGTAATCTCATCGGCAATTGTTTGTACTAAACATATTTTCATGTTATTTTACATTAGTAGGACCGTATGGTGGATACAATTAGTTTTAAAATGTGTTTACGTTGACTTATCTTTTTAGTAAAAAATAATAATTTCGTATTTGTTGACTAATCTAAGAATTCTAAGATTTTATGACGCGTGCAAATCAATGCGATGTAGTTCGTATAAACACAGCGGATTTCAATGGCTTTTTCAATTTTCGTTCGTTTTTCATTAAAAACAAATATGTCACAAAGGTACAACAAGTTTTAGAAGTCATATATGGTCAGAAATTAGAATATATTGCTGTTGATACGAAGATTGTGGGTCGGGTAGTCTAGTTTAGCCTAGAGCTAAACAACGGTCGAGTTTATCTATATAGTAATTCCCATTTTCAACCCACATTTGTGAAGTAGGCGGTGATGATGCGTAGACTAAAAACGTTTTAACCAAAAAATAAAAACCGACTTCAAAAAAAGCACTAAAAAGAAAAAAAATAACTAATTGGTAGTTCGAAAATATTTGATTAGGTAGGATTAGGATATAGTAAATGAAAACTACCAATCAATTATTTTTTACTTACATTTAATCAGTTATTTTGCACTAGTTACCAATAATAATTAACCTTTGAATTTATGTTCGAACGGCCCTTGTACAAAAGATTAGATCAATTTTTAAATGAATATAAACAAAGATAAAAAATGAAGAAATGCTGAAGTCTGCACAGTTGCCACGCGTAACTGATCTCCTCAAACAGCAATAACCAGTTAGATTATCAAGAGATATAAGAGACAGTAAAGAATTTATCATAAGCTATACCTTTCCATCTTTAACTATTGGAGCTGAAACACCATAATCCCCAATGAGACCGACTGGAAACATAGATACTTTCTTCGTATTCCGTATTTCCTCGAAGAGTTGGAGGTCGACGGTGTTATCATCATCACCGAAGTATAGCACACCATCCACTACATTCTCTTGGAGCCAGTGCAAGGCGGCTCGCCTATTCGCTACTCCTCGGGGGAAGTTTGAGCTTTTGTATATAAAGGGTTTGGGACTCGATATATGAGTAAACGGTAGGCCGGTCCGCCTGCAATTAAAATAATTATAAGTCAGATTGATTAATTAAACCGCTCATCAGTTATTCTGCTTTTTTTACTTGTAAATTAGCTCACTATTGGATAAAATATCGCGAAACATACACAAAAAAAACATACATATACTCGAATTGAGTACTTCTACCTTTTATTAGTTGGCCAATGAATCTTAGCTGTTCAAAATTCATTTATTGCAGAACTTAAAATGCAAATAAAAATACAAACATGAATTTAAAACTATTGGATTTCCATTACATCGCGAACAATTGCTTTTAGTTATAAAAGTTGTAAAAAGATCAAAAGAGCAAGCAACCTACCTTAGAACACTTAATACTTGATCAGAACAAACAGGCTGATCATCAGCCACGATCCAATGCAGCCTTGGGACATGCATTAATGTATGTGCCAGTCTTGTAATCTCAGGTATCTGTTCTGGTCGAGGGTATGTTGGGGTTATGTAGTATATCATCTTCAGGTTTGTGCTGTTGCTTATGTGCACTCTGTCATCATTAAAGTTGACATTACAAAGCTTGTTCTTTACGGTAAGTGGTATACTTTTGTCTGTTTCCGAGCTGGAATGAAGAAAATAATTTTGATTCAGTGTGTTCAAAAAAAATTTTTTTATAAAGTAGATATGAATACTATGCAACGCAACATCTACTAGTCCCAAATATCGTCGTGTCATAGGTTAAGTCTTCGAACAGTGAGTGTTGCCAGTGATGACATACGGAACAGACACTAGGCCGCTCACGATGGGCCTGATAAAAATGCTCAATTCTCAGGGTCACACAGAGTAATGAAGAGGGCCAAGTTCAGTTATTGAAAATTTCTGTTAAAGAAATTATCAGTAACAGCCCAGATATGGGAAGTTGGCGGTGTTTCACGCCCGTGCCTCGGAAAGCACATGAAGCCGTCGGTCCTGAGCCTTAACTCTTACCGGTCGTGTCGAAGTATAGTCCCATTGGACTTTAGAGAGTAAAAGGAATAGAGAGTGCACGTACACTTATGCACTATAATATGTTCTGCGCAGTTGGCCAGTCTCAGTGAGATTGGCCGCCGTGGCTGAAATCGGTCAGGAGGTCATTATTATTAGGTGAGAGGGCTATACTCAGAGTTTCCGTGTGAGATCGAATCAGAAATGATTAAGATGACGTCTGTTTAGCACAAGGTGTTACGAGTGCGGTGACCGGGGCCATCTCCGAAGGTTTGAAGGTTATGCTATTCGGGTTATGCAATGCGCCAGCCATATTCGGGAAATTGATGGCGCATATACTCACTGGATTATTAGGAGAAGTCTGTCTTGTTTATCTGGATGACATAATTATATTAGGGCATGATTTCGAAGGCCATCTTAAGAAGCTTGAAGCAGTATTTGATAATCTGAGCAGAGCCAATATAAAGTTAAGTGCAAAATGTGCTCATTATTTAGAAAACAAATAAACTACCATGGACACATCATAATTTCTGAAAAAGGAATCAAAAATGACCCAGAAAAATCTCCACAATAAAAGAATGGCCTACTCCTCAAGACAAGATGCAAGTGAGAGCATTTCCAGGATTGTGCTGTGTAGTCGCCTGTTTTCTAAGTTGAAGTTTTGAATGGCTTTAGTGGCAGCATATTTAATCTAAGAAAAATTTGTAATTAGATAGTAATGCTGAAGTAAAGGGTTTAATATTGAGTACTTGATCAATGTACACATATGCGAGTGTCCATGTGTCTTGATATGTATCAATCTACAACTGTAATATACCAATGTATTTTTTACCATTAGGAGTTATACCAGGAAATACACTTTGAGCTTTATTTAACATTCAATTTGCCTACTAAGTAATATGACTTTTCTTCATCAACAGATGAAGAAAAGTTATATTACTTACAGTCCATAATATTCCGTCACTTACAAGTGACAAATTATCATGGACAGTATCTTGATAACTAGCTTAGAATAGTGGCCATGTGTGAATGTCTCTCAAGAAAGTCATAAATATATATCACCAATATTTAAATACAAAAAAATATAGGCATTTAATTATTTCAATATTATTTTTATAACATAACCAATAACTTGTAGTACCTAATATATTCATTATGTCAAAAATAAAATAAATTTCAAATATAGATGTCCAAGAAATATTTATCACATTTGCGGTGATTATCATTACATTTGCATTTTTAAAATGGAAACTAGTAATAGACATATTACTCAAACAAAGCATAGAAATATAAAGATCATTTCAAGCTGCATTATCTCATTTAAAATGCAATCTTATTACGGCACAAGTATTTTTACCTGCGCTAATAACTTAAAAGAAATAAACAACATTTATTTTACCTCAATATTCCTATATTACTCCAGGTAAACAGCAACCACATAGCACTCAAAATAAAAGCCATTGCGAATATATTTTTTAAAAATTTAAGAGGTTTCATTTTAATGTAAAAACATTTTCTTTAATTTTATTGAAATATAGTTATCCATATAATAAGAAAAGTTTGCTTTTCTGCACTTAACTACACAAAACAATATAGTAATATTTATATATTCTTTTCAATATACTACAAACCAGGGGTGAATAATATGCAGAAAATCATCTGACAGACACAAATGTCATTTTTAAAATGCCTTAAGTTGACCATAGACTAAGCAAAAAAATACAATGTAGAAATTCTAGAATATCTATGAAAGACAGCACAGAATGTTACAGGGCTGCACTGTATAGTGGACAATTAAAATATTATTTATCTGTATCAAGAAATCATGTTTTTTACCCAACTGCGCGACGCAAAGGAGGGTAATGTGTTTATCAGCCTATGTATGTATGTATGTATGTATGTATGAATGTATGTATGTATGTGGATTTGTACTTTTGTGGCACTATTTAGACCAAACGCATGGGCCGATTTAGATAAATGACACGTCGTTTGAGATTCGTCATGGCAGCACGAATGTGATAGAAAACATAAAAATTTGCAAAATTCAAAATGGCCGATTTTGGACTCCATAATGTCAAAAAGAAAAAAATGACAATCGACGAACTATGTTAAGTCAGGCATCGTTGAATAGGTATTTAAAAATCATTTATAGGTTTCTTTCATCATTTTTCATTTTAAATAACCGTTTAGGATATATAATGATTTAAAGTTGGTTAACAACCATTCTCGCTAATTTTCCTACTTAAAAATACTTTAAAAGCTGTATATAAATAAATATATTATACAAACAAAAAACCCAACTGCATACAAGCTAACTAAAGAGATGAAGACACGTTCCCAAAGGAACATAGTATTATGGAGTCGGAGAGATATACGGGTATGTACATCTCGCGACAAGGATGAAACGTGTATTATTTTTATAATATAAGGATTTATTTTGTGGTTGTTCTAATAATTTCTAATTTTCTTTACATTTATTTAATAAGTATATTAAAGAAATATTTTTTCATATTTCAGTAATTATATAAACATTAAGTACTCACACACATACCAATGTTTCCAATAGATATCTTTTATTATAAATTTCGTTTTTTTTTTTGTAAAACATTTTTTGTTTAGCACTACAGTCTTATTTTTTGTCTCTATATTTAGGGTGCAAGCTCAAACATTAGTTCAAATTTTTTTTAAAGATATGATAAAGATAACTATGAAAGAATCGAATAAATTCAAACGTACCGTGATACCAATTAAATCTTGAATGAGCACCTGGCTGTAAATGATTTTATTTTATAAAAAAATAGTATAGTAATCCAATTTTTAATATATTTATTTCCTTTATCTATATTTAAAATTAAAATAAATCTTGTTAAGCGCATATCTCAAGAACGGCTGGAACAATTCGGCTCATATTTTTTTCGTATGTACCTAAAGGTCCACGGAAGGTTTTAATAACGAGAAAAAATGAAAAATTAACGAAAAAAATAAATAAAATTTATAAGGCTAACACTGGTTAATAATTATTTATATCTAATTAAAAAGTACCTAACGACGAACCCGAGCGAAGCGAGGGTAAGCCGCTAGTTGTAAATAAAATTACTTGATTTAAAAAAAATGTTAAGCAATCAAAAAAAAATTGAAATGTTGATTCTTATTAATTGTTTGAATTCAATAACAACATAGAAAAATCAAAATATTATTTAATATTTCAATTACATTTTCTAATTTTATAATACACTAGCATTGCCCGCGGCTCCGCCCGCGTTCAGATGACCAAAATCCAGCTAGCGCCATACCAAATTTCATCAAAATCCCTCCAGTGGATTTGGACAGACAGACAGACAAAAATTCTAAAAACTATAGATTCGGCTTCTGTATTGATAATATTGTTTATTTCAATAAGATTTTCCAAAAAATATCGAATGTACAGATTCGGCTTAGTTACAATTATATTATACGTATAGACTAAAGTTGTTTAGACATATACATAGCATTGAATTTTTTTTAATCCTTTTTGATTTATAAGATTTAATTTTTAATAGCCATTTAAAAAATATAACATTTTTACAAAGTTGATTATGATTTTCGAATTTATATAAATGTATGTAAGATATATGTACTTCCGTGGGACAATCGCTCAATTAATTATTTACTTGAAAATAAAGTTCGTCTTATAGATTTTACTCAGTTTAGATTAAAATAATAAATATTAAGAGTAATTTCAAAAATATTTTGCCATGCGTTCTTTAACTAATTTATAAAAGAAAGTAATAAAAAATCAATACTCATGAGACATGCGTGAGAAAATTTCGCGATATTTGGTGAAATGGTGTCTTCGATGGTTTCGAATTATGTTGTTCTGAAATACTAAATATTGTCAGCAAAAGAAAGGTTAATATCGAGCTAAATTTATTCATTTAACTCCGAAATATATCAATTAATTTGTTTTTTCTTATATTATGTTGGTCGTATTGATTCGGTTGTCAACAACTTCAGAGTGGAGGTGCGATAGTGAACAGTGATTGCGCGTAGTGTTATTGTTTTGTGGAAAAAATTGTGAAACTTAACTAAATTCGATACCTTTTTTGCCATATTTCCTCACAGTTTTTATCTTTGTTCTTATATATTTATTTTCTATGTGGAATATGTCATTCTTCAGCGTGGTAAGTAATAAAATTATGCTACATCAACACAGCACAGGGCGGTACGATCGTAAAGAAATTGATAGCATTTCATGTAGAAATTAGTGTTTTATCACTAAAAACCATCATTTTTTAGCGTATGTTGCATTAAAAATACTTATTTAATATATCTTAAGTGAGACATTCTACTTAAAAGAGTATTTCGACAATCTCGGATATGCATCCTCCATATTTTACTGCTACGTGCATGGTACCAACTACATAATATAAGTACCTATAGCGGATAGCTTTTCATTAAAATCGGATGGTTTTTGTTATAGATTAAGTGAAAATAAGCGTATTTAATGAAATTTTGAATAATCATCTTTGCCGAGTTGTTATTTTTCTACAATCGGGACGGCCGTATTTAATTCGTACTTGGTTAACACGAAGTAGGTAGGTACATATAGATGACCAATTATTCTTTACATCCCAAAAATTTCTCTATTTCTTCATATGTATTATATCACTTGCTTAGTATATAACATTATTTTTCTATTATAAAAAGCAAATTCGTTATAAATGACAATACTTAAAGCTTTTTTAATAAGTTCAAAAAATAATTTTGACCTTTAGAGTAAAAAAATTGGAAGTACTTTCCTACTCAAAATAGGTTAATGAGGATTTTAAAAAGAAATCTTGATAAACAAATGAAACACTTTATAATATTTCATTAAAAAAAACAACAATCTTATATATACACCTATAAATATAAAAAGAGATAATTATAAACATTATTATTTAATAAATAAAAAAATTAAGGCAGTACATTTGATTAGTTAAAAAAATGGATTTTATAACTTTTTATTGCTTTAAGTAACTACTGCTTCAGTCTGCAATTATATTAATTCACTACAATAAAGCTGACATGAAAAGTGTGTGACCTACTTAAATATAATGCTGATTTTCACATATATATACAATATTGTAACTAACAAAAAACAAAAATATTTCACAATTTAATACATACTATGCACTCACACATTCAAAATGTAGGTTCACTAGGCTCAGGTAGTCGTATCTTCAAGTCCTTAGAGGCCGACAACGCATTCTCAACACTGCTTATGTTTTACATGTTTATGAGCAAGATAGCCCCTTTTACTAATAAAAAACGAATATTCATCTGAACACTTCTTTAATTGGTAAAAATTTCGGCTGATTAGAAAGGAATTAATTATATCTTTTATTAAAACACGATTTAATCAAATTAATTATGATAAAAAAATTAATTTTAAGACGAAAATATTAGGTTTAATGCTGTAAATTACTAAGTAAAAACTTAGTAAAAAAATCTAAAAATCTAATAATTGTATGTATTTGGCAAATGATCATGAAAACAATTCTTAATATAAAATATAATTTACCAAAATAATATACTTTATGAAAAGCCTTTCATGATACAAAATAAAAGCGAATTCAGCTATTATACCGGTCAGAAAGAAATATGAGAAGAGTGGATCAAATAATATTTAGATTCTTTTGAATTATGTAAACTATTATTATTATGCGTCAATTAAGTTATGATTTGGCTTAGCTTAGAGTTTAATTTTTGCCACCAACATTTTTCTATGTAAATAATAATCTATCTATACAGATAAATAAAATTGAAGTGTCTGTTTGTAACGTCAAAATAACAGCGTCTTACTAAATGCATATGAAATTATATACGGTACTTATAAGAAAAACACAATTTTTGAAATTTTTGTCTGTCTGTTTGGGCTAATCTCCGAAACGGCTAGACTGATTTTTAGGTAACTTTTACTGGCAGATAGCTGATATTATAAGCAGTAACTAGCACTTTGTTGAAAAAAAAAATATAGCAATATTTTTATAAGTCTCTATTTTTTGTTTTGATTATTAAATATTACCAATAATGTATGTTGACAATTTTTAATTTAGAAATTGTTTTTGACTTTAATATTTCGCATAATATGACAGTTGTCTGTGGTCACTGCTAGACTAGTAGAGAGTAGTTTATGTTCATAAAAAAAAGGTTTATCCAAACATTTACCTAAAACATTAAGCTATTATCAGCATTTTCCTATTTTCTATTTATCATTTCATTCATATTTTCCAGTATCAGCATTAGTATTTAATTATTTCATCTTTAAATTTTGTTAGTGGTGGTATTTTCCATTACACTTAGTTATGTGATATACTTATTTAGTAGTTGTACGCTTGAGGTACAGTATATACATTAAAACACTTCAAATTGGTTAATCAGCACTTAAATATTGTTTTGTTAAAAAATGAAACAATGTGGGGGGCTATTTTTCTAACCTG